TTTTATTATTAGATATTAATAGGAGACACAGACAGACAAACTAATAAGGATGTATTTAAACATTAAAGAATACTTTAGGTTAAGGTCTTATTTTGAATAAGAAAAAAGCTTTGGGGGTATAAATATTAAGCCTGACAAAGTACTAATATATTGCTTTCCTGCAATGTTAACTACTGTATGTTTAAGCACTTATTTTAACTGATATTATACATATGTATTATGTAAGGGATAATGTGCAGCGACGTGGTCATTATGAGAAACAAAAAGCTCCTAAAACACCAGGAATGAGTGTGTAAAAGCTGGGTAAAAGTGCTGTGAATACAGGGAGAGAGGAGGAGCAGCAGCAGCCGCAGCGGCAGCAGGATGTGACCCAGAGAGCTCCTTCCAGCACCTCGCTCTACCACCACCCAGAGGACAGGCTGCTTCAGAGCAGAGTCACTGCTGTAAGCAGGGTCCCACAGGCACACAGGCAGAGATCCAAGGCAGAGATCCAGGGTGATGCACATGGATTTCTTACCCAGGAATGAGTGTGTGTGAAAGCTGGGTAAAAGTGCTGTGAATACCAGGAGAGGGGAGGAGCAGCAGCAGCAGGAGGATGTGACCCGGAGAGCTCCTTCCAGCACCTCGCTCTCCCACCCAGAGTAGAGGCTGCTTCACAGCACTATGTAATCCAGGAAAGAAGCTTGAAACCTGTCCATTTCATCCACATTTGACTCAAGAAATGTACAGGAATCTGTCCATTTCATCCACATTTGACTCAAGAAATGTGAAGCAGAGTCACTGCTGTAAGCAGGGTCCCACAGGCAGAGATCCAGGGTCATGCACATGGGTCAGAAAAAGTCTAAGTTAACTTTTGGAAGAACCAGAGAAAAGGGGTGAAAATGGAGAAATTGTATCCCAAAATAGTGTCTCTGAATGCGGGTAGAGTCCCCTGACAACTCTCCTTACATTCCTCCAGAGTCAGAAAAAGTCTAAGTTAACTTTTGGAAGAACCAGAGACAAGGGGTAAAAATGGAGAAATTGTATCCCAAAATAGTGTCTCTGAATGCGGGTAGAGTCCCCTGACAACTCTCCTTACATTCCTCCAGAGTCAGAAAAAGTCTAAGTTAACTTTTGGAAGAACCAGAGACAAGGGGTGAAAATGGAGAAATTGTATCCCAAAATAGTGTCTCTTAAGGCGGGTAGAGTATGGGGTGACGTATATGGACACTTGAGCACCAGCAAGACCCCCGCCTCCATAACCTTGTGCACCAGGCGAACCTGTGTACCCACACTTAAGCACTCCCCCACGGACTAAACCAAGAGGGAACACCGGTCAGAAGTGCGTGCCCCTGGTACACTGAATAAAAAAAATAATGGGGGCATGCCATTAAAACTGCTATGCATTGAGGATTTTAGTCCGAGATGAGTGCTTATCTGCGGGTATCTTGTGTCAGCTTCGTGGACCCCAATTTAAAAGGAAATGTCCATGATATTGACAAACATATTTATATACAGAATGATGATTATTTTACCCTCAGACACATGCATAGAACACCCCCAAGTGTTGAATGTGTGTAGGCACAGTTGGTAAAAGTTGTCCTGCCGGTGGCAGGGACTTTGCATTGGAAGTTGACATCACATTTCCATTGTGGTCCGCACAATGGAAATATGATGTCAACTTCCAATGCAAAGTACATTTGAAGGACAAGTCCCATGTTAACTCTGTCCATAAGGCAGACATTTTCCTTACTTAATGGAATGTATATCAGTGTATTAAAGTCAATACTTCATTTATTTAAACCAATATCTTTCTTGATTCTTTGTACAGTATGAAAAATAGAGTCTTTGTACCTGTGCTGAAGTTCACTGCTGTGAGGAGTCCAGTTCTGTCTCTCACTCTCTGGTCAAGCCTGTCTGCATCACCTGGACACTTTAAACAAACAGATATATATGTAAAGTACCATGTGTACAAACAATATAACTTATTCTCTTCTGTTGAACATGTTGGATTGTGTATTGTCCGAGTCAGGGTCCTTTTTATTTTACTGTAACTTTGGAAGTTGTGTTACCAATGCTTACTGTTAATTTGATATCAATTTGGTAATGCAATTAATAAAAACAACAAGGTTTGGGTTCGTTCTTCAGATGACTGACGTGTAAGCTCAATAATGAACTCCAGCTCAACCAACCATATTATAATATCTAAGTAATCATCTTGAAATAGGACATTAATAATTGTAATATACACACATCTTATTGTGAGGTTGATTTCACATACACTACTTCGACGTTAGCTAAATAGAAAATAGCATGGATAATTTACAAAGGCTTTAAAAACACAGCAGGAGCCCAAGACAATTATAAAACTTGTCATTATTTCAGTACAGTTGGTTTTATTTTCATAAACGGTTATCAACCGTTAGTGCCAAAGCAGTAGGCTATAATATATTCATTACTGCTATAGACTACAAACACTACTTGTTTAGCTAGCATAAACTCAACAAAGCTAGCGTTAGCTGGCTAACTGACGCTATTTTGCCGGTTCGACGTGACTATGGCTGTGACTGTGTGACTGACCCGAGCCTCGTTGTTCCGATAGCTCCGCCCCTTCGCTCCAACCCCCCTCCCTCCACCCACATCTACAGGTGAAAATTACTGTTGCGACACATTTATCTCAAGAAGTGTAGCAAAAGTCAAGGCCGCAGATTCGTCGATTTATACTGCCACAGAGCAGATTAGTCAAGTTTTAATGACTGATTTGAGTGGTTGTTATAACCAAGTTGCAGTTGTAATGGAAAATATATTTTAAAAATATGTATTTTTTTTTAAGTGAACATTTCATCACTAAATTCATTTTTTTTCTTCAAGCTACAAAACTTTTTTTTTTCTTCTGTGACTTCAAATTTGGTTCACAGTTACGTGGATATTGTATACAAGTGTAAATGTATGCACACAAGCTCAGATTTTATTTCTGCAAGTGCTCACATTAGGTTTTACATGCTCTCGCATTTTGCAGCAAATATACCTTCATAGGGAGAGACTAACAGCCAGCTGTTCGCCGGGGTGGCAGGCATCCGTTCAAACACACAGACGAGCTCGAAAACAAGGGGTGAGGAGAAGCCTGTTATATCGAATTATTCAATAGATTATGTAGGAAATATTAGATTTGTGTGTTTGACGGCGGCCAGCGGATCCTGCAAATAGCTGTGCATTTAATGTTTGTCGAGCCCTTGGGTATATTTGCAGTTTCCCCGCTTGAAAGGGATGATACAGTCCTTAGGAGGTTTGAACTGGGTTTCACTCGTGACCACAACTTTGTTTCTTTTGAGTTCTTCTTTACTTTCGTTTTTGTTGTTGCAGTACAGCTTATGTAGTAAGGTTGTAAGGTAAAAAACCTTAAATGAAAAATAAAAATAATTACTGTAAATAAATGCACATGAAATAATAAATGCAAAAATACATTTACATCATACTTTTTAACACTTGTGAATATTGTTTTTACTTTCTTAGTGTATTTTTATGAATGATGTTTTTAAACAGTTAACTTATGCAGTCTCATTAAAAATGCAAATATAATAGACTGAATTCTTAGCAGCATTCAAACCGTTTTTATCAATCTACATCTCTCAATAAACAAATCACATTCGCTTTTAAATCAACAATCATGTTGCTTTAGCTTGAGGACATCAAACAAACAAATGACACTGAACTAGAACGCACGTTCTAACGTGCGCCATGAACGGCAAGTTGTATGACTCTTAACTAAACACACAGTTCGTCTCTCACCGGCCGCCTCTCCAGCTTTTTATGGCTGCACCAGTGCTGCTGCTTCTTTGACGTTTCTTCTGCTGGTTCGTTGCTGCTGCTGCTGGACGCACGCTTTTTAGTGTGTCCCTCTCCAGCTTTGATTACTGCCCTTCTTTCAGGTGCGGTGCATTTAAAGGTGCAGCAACGCTGATTAGCAATTAGGGAATGATTTTAGACAGCTGCCACTCTGTCAATCAGCCCGACTTTTTAACCCTTTGATCTCCTGTGAGGATTTTCCAAGTTGACTTCACAATGTTAAAACAACCTAAATGTATAAACATAAGCATCGTATAACTCGTGGCGTTGCTCTGTCGCAAGCAGGGTGAGTTCACATTTTCTTTTGTTCTTCTAACCCTGCATGCTATTAATTTGTGTGTGTGTGTGTGTGACGACCCCTGCCTTGTTATCTCTGGTGTGTGTATGTTCCTTTAAGGTTTTCCCTTTGGTCTATCAGCTGGGATTGAGGACACCTGGCGGCTGGAGCTAGCCGGATAAAGGACCGGGCCGGATCTCGCTCTCGCTCTCGCTCTGGCAGGAGGACGCAGCGCGAAGAGCAGCCACGACCAGCTGACCTCTTGTTTCGTAGTTTGTTTCGCCTGTTTGTGTCCTTCAGCAGCAGTGAATAAACTCTTGTTTCCTATTCACGCCCTCGTTTTCTGTCGCGCGTTTGTGGTGGCTGAGAGCCATGACAGCTGGGGGCTCGTCCACTTATTTTTATCTGTGATACAGCAACGGATAGGTGAGATTTGTGTGGGTTGGTTGGTGCGTTGCATGTGGAGCAGTGCGGAACGGTGCAGAGTTTTCCCTGGCAGGTTAAGTGGCGGTTCCCTTGGGATCGTTGAGCGGGGTGTGTAGTGTTGCGGAGAAAGTGGTTGAAGCCTTGGCTTGGGAGCATGGCCGTGGTCTCAGTAGTGTTGCTAGCTTGCTAGTCGCTTTGCTGGATTAGCGGTCTCCAGTGCATAAACACCCACCACAAGTAACTGCATGAAGACTAGGGAGGAGATTAGTCAGTGGGATGGTGAGTTAGTGGGGAAACTCCAATCAAAAAATTAGTGTTCCACTTTGGACGCATTATAAACGTGGTGGTATCTGTCCGGTTGGTTTTTGTTTTTGTTCTCTTCTTTCGGTTTAAAGGTCCGGTGTTGTGTTCCGGTGAGGGGTCGGTGTAAATTAAGATGGCTGACAAACAACAGCGCATTTTCGCAAAAGCTTTCCCATCTGGCTTTGATCTGGTCAGTGTAGTTCTTGTTGCCTGCCTCTAGAATTCGGCCCATCTCGTCCAAAACCTGAGTGTAAAAATCAATAGAACTTTGATACAGAGAAAACAGCAAACCGATGTTAGATGTCTAAATAATTAACAAGAGATTTACCTTTTAAGAGTGACACAGTTGTGTCATCAAATCTATCCATCTCACCATGAAGAAGCATTCTGTAATTTACAGGAAAAGACGGCCATTGTCATTTTAAAAGTCAACCCCAAAAAAAATCACATTAAAAAGGCATCAGACACTAAATTGTAAAATTGCTGTGATTCACTATGAACTAGCTAGGTCGATGTTAGCTAGTCTACCACCACCCTTTGCGTTTTTAACTAACTGCTAGCTTTTAACAGATACAATTACTGAATACCAAAAGAAAACGTATGATATTAACGTCGGCTAATGTTGTGTTCCTTACAGACAGTTTATTTATCTGAGAGTAGTTAACGTTAGCTAGCTTAATTTTTACATACCCCATTAGTGAGGTTAAGGTTAGCTAGCAACACGTGCTTCGTAGTTAGCTAGCTATCTTAGCTAATTCAGCTAACAGTTAACCAATGAATGTACTAATACTTAATAAATTGAAAGCACTAATATGTTACATATGCCTATGGACTTTTATTCCTACGTTCAGTTACTAACGTTACCTTAACTGCACTTCTTGGTCGCTTTCCTGCATCTCTGGTGAAGGTGAAGGTGAACTGAACAACGTGTTACATTCCGCTGGCGCTTGGCTTGTGGTGCGTTCAGGTGATCCTCGTGAAATAGGAAATTCCCTGTTTGCCATCATTTGGACACAAACAGCCATCCACTTGTAAACACTGAGGACTGAGGAAGATCTCTCGATGTAAATAATATAGTACTGGCATTCGTTGTTTACATATTTTAGTGGATATTGTCATTGCTCCAGCTTCTGACAAATACATGGTAAATAAAGTCACACATTTTCCGACTTTATGAGTGATGACAAACACCACATGGATGCACATTCCAGGTTTTTCTTCTTTCAGGGCCAATGAGAAGCAGAGTAGGGGCGGGTCTTCGCATAATTAAATAATGCAGCAAGCGCCAAATTCGCAAACACCTCTGAGAGCAATCGTTATAGTCGTCCACATCTGATGAAGTGTGTGAAAATTCAAGTCAAAGATATTGTGATATTTGTTGTTATCCATATCGCTCAGCCATACTTGGTGTGTTAAGCTGTTCATGTTTGAATGTGTAATGTGGCATGGATTGTTTGAACAAGTGTGGTGTGATAAATGCACCACAATCTCAGAAATTAAGATATTGTTCTTTGTCCAGTATTGCTTATGCCATAGAGTCTAGATAATAAGAGACCAGATAACAGGGGAAATAGACGTTGCTTGAAGGAAGAGGGAGGGGGTACTGAGTAGCTGGCAGCCCCTCCCAACAGTGTCCTCACTGCTCAGGGACCCCCACCTTGTTACCAGTTCCAGGGCAGTAACAGAGTAGAGATTGCACACCTACCTCAAGAGTCAATGTCATGCATATTATCAGTTATTCTGGTCCATATCCTTTAGGAGAGTGTGTTATGATTATCAGTTCATTTTTTGATTATCATTCAAATAGATGTTAATTGTTGTTTGAATTGTGTCTTTCTGTCTTTACCAGCTGGGAAAATAACTTATGTTAACCACAGAGCTGATGCTTGAAATTAATTTGTTTTCTTCTTGCCATACTAGTGCTTAAAATAAGACTTTTTAGCCTTGAAGTGGATGTTTTATAGACAGGTCCCTTGTTTCTAGTTAAACATAACTAAAATAAAGACAAAGTTGCTTATCAAGACAAGGCAAGTAACATTTACTTGAATTAAGTCAAAAAATCTTCCATAGAAAGCACTAGATAAGCTATTTAAACTCAAATCAAGACAAACTAGATTTAGAATCTAAATTTAAGATTATTACACTTGGTTAGATCTGCAGTTTTTGCAGTGAAGGGTATGGAAATATGGCAGACAAGGTGGGAGGAAGACCAGAAAGGGAGGAGATACCACAAGTTACAAAAATCAGTCATAATAAAGGAGGAGATCACCATCACTAGACTCAGACTGGATCATACAGGATTAAACGGCTTAATGTTTTTAATGGGAAAATGCAAAGTTGAAGAATGCAGGGGGTGTGGAGTGAAAGAAAATGTGGAACACATCATATTACACTGTAACATGTACAAAACAGAGAGGGAACAACTAAGAGACAGGGTCAGAGAGGCAGGAAGCGAGTGGAGCCTGATGGGGATACTGGGAACAGAAGGTGAGGGGGTAAGAGCTACCAGGAAGGGAGTGGAGCCTGATGGGGACACTGGGAACAGAAGGTGAGGGGGTAAGAGAGGCAGGAAGGGAGTGGAGCCTGATGGGGACACTGGGAACAGAAGTTGAGGGGGTAAGAGCTACCAGGAAGGGAGTGGAGCCTGATGGAGACACTGGGAACAGAAGGTGAGGGGGTAAGAGAGGCAGGAAGGGAGTGGAGCCTGATGGGGACACTGGGAACAGAAGGTGAGGGAGTAAGAGAGGCAGGAAGGCCATTCTTAAGTATTTGAGTGGTGATAGGATGATATGGTGATACACTCTCTTGTACAGTAGGTGGCGGTATGCACCTTAAAGCTGTTTGCAATCCGCCAAAAACCGAGAGAAGAAGAAGAAGAACAAGAAGAACCTGGATCCACGTGGCGTCTCGTCACTACGGTTCTCTCTCTCTGTGTGTTCCTGAGAAAGTGTGTGTGAGCTCCAGCTCTACTGATCCACCATCTGTGTGTCTGGATAAACCTCTGAATGGACTCTGTGCTCTTTTTTCTGGAGCGTTTACCTTCGCCTACAGGAGCTAGCTTAGCATGCTAGCTGGAAACACGTTAGCAACACTAGTCAGATTGAGAGTTTGATGCAGAGAGAAACGGTGTGTTTAACGGAGTCTGCAGGAAAAGGTGATCTAGGAAACATGAGTAAAGTCCAAATGCTGCAGTCGTTGAAGAAGCAGCGACTCACTGCTGCTAATGAAGAGATATTTGCTCTGTTTGAACAAACAATAGCAGAGCTCGAGGAGGAGCTGTTTCTTTCCAAAGAGGAGAAGAAGAGACTCCAGAAACTACTGGACGCTGTTTTACAGCCTCAGCTTCGGATACACAGAGCAGGTATGTTCCCTTTACCCTTAATTAACACTTTACACTCTTCAGTAGCACTTTATTATCACATTAATAACACTTTAGACCCTTTATCAGCACTTGCTGCAGGTAGTAGATCCTGAAGTAAAAGTACAAACACCACACAGTGAAATTACTCCATTACAAGTTAAAGTACTGCATTCATATCTTATTTAAGTAAAAGTATGTAAGTATTATTATACACATGTACTTTATTATAATAATTAATATGTATTACGGAAGAGCAAACCTACCAAAATAAATATATTTATAAAAATACATTGAATAATATGCCATTGAATGAATGAATACTTTATTACAGACTCAGGGTCCAGATAAAAGACAAGGCATTAGATATAATAAATTACATACATAGCATAAAAAGAATGCATAGTTTAAGAATAATTTAAATCAGTGTCCTACAAAGAGACAACTATACCAATGTCTCCACAGCTGCGATTGGTAGCGTGTAGTACTAAACCTTATGTTCGATAAGGCCAAGAGGATTTCATTATCAGAGTCATTAAGCCGGCAAATACATTTATACATGAGATTTCTTAAAACAGCTTGTAGAGTATTGACTCCTGCAGCCACAAACATTTCACTTGCACTAGACCAGGGGTCACCAACCTTTTTTAGGATGAGGGCTACTTTCAAAAAATAAACAAATCGGGGGCTACTTTTACTCCTCTTTTTTTTGTTTTTTGCAGTGTATATATTTATCACATTTTAACATTATTATATGCTGACCTTTAACCTTTGTGTGCTGTTTGGGTCTGTGGGACCCGTTTTCAGTGTTTACTAAAAGAAAATGTATGCAATTTAATTATTTTAATCTGCTTTATTGGGGGGGGGGGGCTCACATCCTCTAGGGGGGGCCTCACCTCCTCTAGGGGGGTCCTCACCTCCTCTAGGGGGGTCCTCACATCCTCTAGGGGGGTCCTCACCTCCTCTAGGGGGGTCTGGGGGCATGCACCCCCGGGAAGATGTTTTTTTAAATGTTGAAGTGAAATGCATCAATCTGGTGCACTTTGAGCACAAAATGAATTTATGGATACAGCTCTCAACTCTCAGATGAAAGGGAGCTGTATACTTTTCAATAATCCAATCATCTTTAGAATATGATCTCAACCAATAACACATCATTTAAACTGGTTTATTCTTATCTTATGTTACCTAGTAGTTAGCATTCTTTCTTTTTATTTATGCATATTTTACTAATCATTCCCCTTTAAACTGTTTGTTGTACTGTCCTATACACATTGGAATGATTTCTTACTTGATCTATATTACATAGATAAAAGTGTGCTCTCTCGCTCTCTCTCGCTCTCTCTCTCTCCCTCCCTCGCTCGCTCTCTCTCTCACCCTCTGTATCGCTCGCTCACAGAGACTGTGTGCTCCTCCGTGGCGAGGACGGCTTGCGTTAAAAAATAATAAACATATTTGTAAAGTGGGGGGACACAAACGGGATTTCGAAACGTGCGGGGGACATGTACCCCCCCCCCTGTCCCCAGTGGAGATTACGCCATGCATGTGTGTGCGTCAAGTGGAATAAATATATATGCAGGTTACAACACACAGAGTAAAACTCTGCCCCTCATGTGCTGTATAGGCTGGCATGATAGGCTGTTCAATGGGGCTGATGTGTAGATTCTGCCAGAAGGAAAATCAGCGGGGAGGTGCCACATTGCTTTTCTTCCCGACTGCAACGATGGTCCCGCAAATCAAGCAAGAACGTGATTGGTCGATATTCATTGTGGGGGTGGGGGAGGAGGGGCGTTAGATATAGAGTTGTAGTAAGTAGATAGAGTTCGCTATGATTTATGTGTCGTTGATGCATAGGGTAGATTCTTTTAATTACATTTCCTTTTTTGTTTTGTGTATTTTATACATTTTGGATTTGCTTGGCGAGCTATTTTTAGAACATGCCCCGCGGGCGACTGAGTGCCCGCGGGCACCGTGTTGGCTACCCCTGCACTAGACCATCGAGGTCTCTTCAGTAATATTATCATGGCATCATTATAAGCAGGGGTGAAAAGTTAGGACGATTCTAAGGGCCCGTGACTGACGGGGGCCCCAAAATGTTTAGAACATTAAGAAAAAAAATGTAAGTAACCTTTCATCAATCCTCAATAATTAACATTAATAGAACGTTATATTGATAAATTACTCACTAAACTTACAGTACGATTCATTTAACTTATTTTCTTCCATAAGTTAATTACCCAAAGCCTCTGTACACCCCCTTCTATTTACATGTAATGGTTTGGTCCTGCCTCCAAATGCGGTGCGGCACCGGCACTTGCAGAGAGTGAAAGCATGTGAGGAGGGATGCTAGTACTTAGCCTACATACGTGTGTTGTACCATGTTTCAACGACCAACAAAGTCAGGCTCTAAGAAAAGAAGAGAAAGGAGAGAAAGAAAAGAGAGAGGGACTAAAGAGTGACAGTATGTCACCCAGTTTTTCATAAGAAAAGGTGGGTGTGGTCCATGAGTGGTGGAAATTAGTCTGTTAG